GCACACAACGCACATCCAGAGTGGCAGTGGAATGGAGAGATAAGAATGTTTCATAGGAAAAATGATTTGTTGACTTGGTGAATCATCGTAGGTATAAAAGACAAAGAAGGTGGGTAAAAATTAAATGTCATTCTAAGCCTGAGTAACCGGTAAGAGTGATGGTAGAAAACTAATCTGGACAGGAAAAAGCATGTTAGTTTGAAGTAAAGTTATGGCCTCAAAACATACTGAGTATGTATTGTCACATGTTCTACAAATGCATTGAGCAAAAGTGATCTTAATATGCACATTAAAAAATTTGAATTAACTATAGCCATATCCTCATCCCCAGTTGAGATTTAAAGCACGCTCTTTTGCCTGGATTTTTACTGTAGTGGGTCTCCGTGTTTCCTTTCTTGCTCCCCTGCGGTTTATTCTCACAGAGTAGCTGGAGTGTCCATGACCAGAATTTGATGTGGGATTTTGAAAGTGAAGGCAAGAAACTATCACCAATTGGGAGTCCTTTATAAAAATGTCTAGGTTGGGGAGGAGAGGGTAGTGCTTATAACAGTTGTATCTTTTTTTTTTTTTTTTTTTTTTTTTACTTTTATTTATTTTTGAGAGAGAGAGAGAGAGAGAGAGAAAGAGAACAAGTGGGGGAGGGGCAGAGAGAGAGGGAGACAAAGATTCCAAAGCAGGCTCCAGGCTCTGAGTTGTCAGCACAGAGCCCGACACAGGGCTCAAACCCACAAACCATGAGATTATGACCTGAGCTGAAGTTGGACACTTAACCGACTGAGCCACCCAGGTGCCCCACATTTGTATCTTTTTAAAGTAGGAATGATTCAAAATCACTTTCTTTCACAATTCTTTTCTAAATTCTGTGAGATTCTTTGTGTATACATGCATACACAGCACATATAAAGACCATACATGTGAATCTTTTTCTTTTCATTCCATTTACTTGCACTTCAGTAGATCTACTTTGTAGCCTTAGCTATTGCCCATCATGATGACTCTTTGGCATTATATTTTCATAGCTCCTGAAGGAAGGATGAAGTTATATTAAGTGTATTTACTTTTGCATATTCAATATTATAGAATCTTGGAGATGAAGGAGGTGTATTTCATCCAGTCTAATGAGTCACCCAGTGTTTGATCCGTCCTCCCTTGTCAATTTCTAGGGCTGCTATGACAAATTATCCCAGACCTGCTGGCTTAAAACAGGAGAAAGTTACTCTCTCATAGGTCTGGAGGCCAGAATTCCAAAAGTAAGGTGTCAGCAAGGTTACACTCCCTTCAAAGGCTCTAGGGGAGAATCTTTCCTTGCCTTTTCCAGCTTCTAGTGGCTCCAGGTATTCCTTGGCCTGTGGCCGTGTAACTAATTTCTGCCTCCATCTTCATATGACCACCTTCTCTGTGTCTCTTCCTCCGCGTGTCCCTTGTACAGACATTTATTGGCTATAGGGCCCGGCCAGATAATTGAGGATGTTGTCATCTTAGAATCCTTAACTTAATTGCAGCCCTTTTTCCAAATCACATTCACAGGATTTGGATATGGACATACTTTTGGGGGGCCACCATGCAGCCTGTTAGGCCCTCTGAGTATATGTCCGTTATTTGTTGCCCAGCTCCTAACTGGCTGCCTCTGCCCAAGATCTTTTGGATTTTGACTAACTCTGGGCTGAAGTCAGTTTTCCTGTAACTTTTACCACTGACTTCAGTTCTCCCCGTCTGAAACCATGAGAACAAAAACATCTCTTTTTCTCTCAGAAAGCCCTTCATTTGTTTTCTCGGAGACTTCTCTGCTCCAGACTGAAGACCTCTGGTTCCTTTAGCCGTTTGTCTCAGAACCATAGCTCGCATTCTCTTAATTATCTTGGTTGTGCTGCTTCTCTGAAGCACTCAGAGGTGAGTAGAAAGAATACTGAATTTGTCGTTGAAGACCTAATACTCAGGTCATGTCTCTTCCGCTAAGTAGATGATCAAGGCAAATCAGTTTTCTTTTAAATAACAAAAACACTGGACCACTCTACTTCACTGCATGCTTTTTATAGTCAAATGAGATTGTTGCAAAACCTATAAGAAAGTTGCAAATTATTTATCCACATGCTTATATTAAAAAAACAAAAACAAAGCCGACATTAACTCCCAGAACTGAACACAGATCTCTCAGTATAGTCTGAACCAGTCTGAACCAGTATTGGCCAATAGCACGTTTCCTAATAATCTGCTTTGTTTCTGTTAATACAACCTGGGATCACAATAGCTTTTTGGTAGTCATGCCATGGCTCTTTGTTCATAGTGAAATTACTGTGTACTCAAGAGCTCCAAATCATCTCCACACATAATCTATTTACGCTTTCTAATTCATTGATACATACCTTGTAGAGTCAGTGAATTTTTCGAACAGCTTGGAAATACAGTTGAATTTGCAATGTATTTCATATCGATCATTTTAGTTGCCTTTTCTGTAAGTTTTATAATAGGAAATATAAAGTTCTTCCTCCAGTTATTTAATGTAATACCCCCCCTTTAATGAATCCTATTTTTGACGCTAAGGACATTTTTCTAGTTGTACTTGAATGACCACATTCTTATCTAAACCTTCTACAGTTGCTAATGTGATTCTCTGTCTATATTGAATGAAGATGCCTTTGATTTGTATCTTCCGTCCTGATGGTAATAGGTTTTACCCATTAAAATGGATTTCATTTTTCTAGATTACTTAATAGATCTATAAATCTATGTACTTTTGCAAAGTGAGATGAATGTGTAGTAATTATAAGCTGCTATACTGTTCAACTTGAAGTGACCTCTTAAGAATTTGAAAGCAATATAAGATGTGAACTCTGTCCTCATGTTTGATCTGTCTTACAATGGCACTGTTTGACCTTGGGCTTCAGTTACTCTTCAGATTTGTTTTAATGTTACGTGCACACCTTGTGACTTTCTATAAAGAAGTCCCAATGAAGTGATAAAGTTGATGTTGTGAGATCCATTTTGTAGGGATTTGGAGACCTGGTTTTCAATGATACTTATTTCAGCGTCCTCTTCTAACATTTGAAATAGTTTCTGTATTTATAAATTGAAAGTAGAGATACACGTAGGCTTGGAGAGCTGTGCAGATAGCCTTATAGAATAACAACTACATAGTACAGTGCTTTGGAACTCTAGGAGGTTCCTTCCAGAGGGCCCCCATGGTGTTATGTCTTTGCAGTTAGGTAGTTCCTTTGCAAGCTTCCTCATACAAATTTGGATGGTTCCCAGATGCACTGTGAAAGCCTGATGTTGCACTTTTGTTTATCCTGAATTTGCTGTCATTTTTATGTATCTCCATTTAGGGCCACACCACATTCCTAGTTTATTTTTTACTGCTTCAATAAATACAGAGCTGTATGTTCTTAATGGATGTATGAAGCATTTGGTGTTCCCTTACTAGAGAATAAAGACAGTTCATGACCTTGCTCATTCCCCAGTGCCTATAATTTAATTTTTTTTTAATGTTTATTTATTTTTGAGAGAGAGAGAGAGACAGAGCATGAGCAGGGGAGGAGGAGAGAGAGAGGGAGACACAGAATCCAAAGCAGGCTCCAGGCTCCAAGCTGTCAGCAGAGCCCGATGGCGGGGCTCGAACTCGTGAATCGCGAGATCATGACCTGAGCCAAAGTCAGACGCTTAACTGACTGAGCCACCCAGGAGCCCTGTCAGTGCCTATAATTTTATAGCACAACAAATTTACCTTTTAGAAACTGTATGTAATCAGCAACTCTCAAGAATTTAATATAAAGATTTTTTAATTCTGTTTCGTTTATATTTTCTAGAAAACAATATCCAGCAAACTTTATGGAATGTACCTTTCCTCGGGCAATTGAAATTGAGAATATCCACTAATTGTTACCTTCCATTCATTTCAGTAGGATTATTTTATTTTTGAGAATAATCATATATTGCCAAACTCAGGAAGGTGAAGTTTTTCTTCTTGACCCTAAGTCGTGATTGATCTGGATTTGTGTATTTACTTCCGAGGGAAAAAAATGTATGCTTAGTTTTGAGAATATAACCTTTTCTTCTTCATTTGCAGGGATAGGAAAAAGGAAATGGGGAAACTTATTCTCTAAAATAACTCATCATCTTGATAAAGATCCACAGATCTCATGCCTTTGTTATTTCAGTAAGTCAGGTTAAAGTCGTAGGAGAGCTCTGTGGCATGAGTATATTGCTTTGGAGAAGTAACACCCAAATAGCCACCCATGTGGGTGTGAATGAATTTTTGGTGTTCACTTCTATTAGTACTGTCGATTTGACTGGCCACCTTTCAAGAAGCAGAAATCTTTTTTTTTTTTTTTAATTTTTTTTTTCAACGTTTTTATTTTTATTTTTGGGACAGAGAGAGACAGAGCATGAATGGGGGAGGGGCAGAGAGAGAGGGAGACACAGAATCGGAAACAGGCTCCAGGCTCCGAGCCATCAGCCCAGAGCCTGACACGGGGCTCGAACTCACGGACCGCGAGATCGTGACCTGGCTGAAGTCGGACGCTTAACCGACTGCGCCACCCAGGCGCCCCAAGAAGCAGAAATCTTATATATTGCTTTCAAGTCTGATTTTTTCCCCTTAATCTTCTTTTCCCATATAGTAGAAGCTGAGATGTCAGATCCAATGTATTAGAGGAAAAAACTTGTAGGATCTTAATTTTGGCATGGTAAATTTGTGATATGTAAATATGAAACACAGTGGCCTCAACTCCTTGGGGTTAGTGGGTCACTTTTTTATATATTAGTCCCTTATTGCATGATCTACTCAGTTTTTTGTTTTTTTAAACAAAGCAATCATTGATCTGATTTGACTAATTATGAAGATAATAAGGTAATAGATTGCAACACCTATAAGGAATTTAGTTCAAGTCTTCAGATACTTATGCCTTATTCAAGGAACTTCTACCTTTGTCAATAACTTGGAGGTTGTTTTACTCAAACTTTGGAAAAGATCTGATCCTGCTTAATTTTTTTTTTTTTTTTAGGTTTCCATTATATCCAAAAGGAGGGGAGAAGTTACAATTTGATTATGGTGTCTATCTTCTGAACAAAAATATAGCACAGGTAAGTAAGTAACTTCTGTCCTTCTCTACTTCTCATATACAACCTACTTCTTGGATTGCTAACCTTCTTTCTTTATAAATAAGTACTACAGTTCACTGTTTTATTTAAGCAGTTACAGTGATAACGCAAAATTCTTTTTTGGCCACAGTTTTATTTTATGTCATTCTAAATACTACTGAGAAGCAGTGGGTACAAATTGAAATCCTCCTACTAAACTCAGAAGCCCTTTACTGAGTTGTTACCTGCTGGTACACTATACTTGAATGTGTGGGTTTATATCTTTTTGCCTCTGTACCTTTGCACATAGCTTTCTTCTCTTAGATCACTTTCTTCTCTTAGACCACTTTTAGGGACTCATTTTGCATCGGGAGTTGTTTATGGAGTTAAGTTTTAGTGCCTTTGGCCAGTCTTCAATGGTCTCCTCACCATACTATGCAGGAAGCAAAAAGAAAGACCAACCATGTGGTCCTTCCAACCCATCTGGGGCTTTTGGGGCTCTCTTAACATCAGGCCAGTTAGTACCTCATTTAAATAATGTCTTTCCATATGCTGTAGAAAGACTAACAGATGCTTCAGTCTGCATTTTTCTGAAAGAAATGCACAACATTTCTTTGGCATACGTGACTAAACTTCACGAGGTAGACGTTCCATAAATTTTCCAGTTGTAAAGGAAGATTACCTTCAGTGCTTTGTTTTTATTTGGACATCCTTCCAATTAGAATATCCTATGGATCAGTATCCACGGTTTGGCTGTCACTTAAAGACATTATCAGCTGTATCCTCAGACTTTTTTTTTTAAGGAAGCAACAAGGTTTGTGATGGATTTGTTTTAAAAGGTTGCCTTTTATCCATATGAATCTAAAGACTCAATGAACAGTTCCCTTATTCATTCCTGACAGATCTAGAATCATTCCTCCATATGGTGTCATCTTTGCCTTTCTTCCCCTCATTCAGTATCAGTTTAGTG